TGGCCATGCTTTCTTTCCTCGCCCACCCGTGCTCGACCTCCAGCACCTGCCGCGCCTCCTCGCGAAGCATCTCTTGCGCATCGGGGTTGGCTGCGAGGTCGTAGATGCAGTCGGTGACGAGATTGTTTGTCGTGTGGATCGACGCCGCCGCGAGGATGAGCTGCAGGTGCGCCTGGGACCTGACATCCGTCTTCTCCTCTGCAGGCAGCGATTCTACGAGCCACTGGATCAAGTCGTCGGGGGTCTGCTCACAGCTGGGCATCTCCAGATCCCGCAGCCGCTCCTCGATGACGGGCTTCAGCATGTTGCTCGCGAGGTCGATGTCCTTGGTGATCTGCCGCAGCTCCGACACCATGTACTGCCCGACGGGCCGCGCCCACTCCGGGAAGAGCTGCATCTTGACCACGGCGACAAAGACGTGGATGGCAAAGTTGATGCTAATGTCCATCCACTTCTCTTGGCGGTTGATGTCAGATCCCACAAACGCCCGGCCGCTGATCCGTGCGATGGCTCGCAGCGCGAACGGCTGGAACTTAACAGGCGTCCAGTCTAAGGTTGGTTAGCACGAACCGTGGCACACAAGGTTTGGAGCACGACATACCCTTGCAGTCGGGAAACTCGGTGGCGACGACGTACTCGAGCTCGCCCTTGAGCTGTGGCACAAGCCTGGCCAGATTCTGCGAGAGCTTGCATCGGACCAGAGTCGACAGCAGATCCGCGTGGGGGCCCAGCGTGAAGTTGGTGTACCGACTCAGCATGGCCTCGTCAACGGCCTCCGTCGCGCTGAGGACTTCTTCTGGCAGGCTTCTCAGCTCGCCGATGAGTCGCGCGGGGATGAGGACCTGCAGGCCTTCTGTCGCCTTGATCTGGTAGACGGTATCGCGGAACTAAGTGCACAGTCAGCCACAATCACCGCCAGCGCAGTCGAAGAGCCTCACCTTGCCGTAGCTGTCGCGAATCAACGTCTCCGCGTCAAACATCCACTTGGTCTTTGCCGCCTTGTAGAACGGCATGGGCAGCTTCTGCTTGCGCGATTGCAGCAGCCACGCGACCACCAGCATCGCGCTGATGGCGACGTAGTAGCTGATGTGCTTGCCCCCCGGCACCACCTGGGGCAGGTTGAGCTCCATGGGCATCGACGACATTGTGGTTGACTGATTCATCGGAATGCTGGATGAAGGGAAAGAAACCAATCCTCAAAAACAAATCAAACAGGGTATCAATCCAACACGCCAACACGACCAGAAGAAAAAAGGTACAGCGCCGTAAGTCGAATTCGGATCGAGATCAGGTCGCAATGAGAGTCGTCTGCTGATGGAGACTTCCCGGGGCGGAGAGGGAAGTATGGCGACGACTTAGGTATGCCTCCAAGACATTGGCCATTAGAATCCAAGAGTTCCCAGCCAGGCCCTGCGGAGGGTCGACGATGCGATGGCGTCAAGGTTGGCGGCTCCAGGAAGTGGGAAAAGTCAAAAAGGACGAATGACGGCTGTCCAAGTCGGGATTCCGAGTTCCTGTGGCCGCGTTGCCCGTCCGTTGTCCCCGTCTCTTCTTCTCTGTCTGTCTCGCAAGCGTCGTCCAGCGTCGTCGTCGAGTTCGGTTTGCTGAGCGTTGTTGACCGTGTCCGTCGTGCTACCCGTGGTCCAGGAAGAAATCAGAAGCCCAGACGCGAGTGACGGTGCAAAGGAACGGGACTCTACAATGATAAAAGTAAAATCCAAGGAGCAAAAGACGAACGAAAGACAAAAAGAGGGAAGGGGTAAAAAAGGATAAAAGTCGGAAATCGATGCTTGTCTGCGCGTGCCTGTTTGCATCGCAGTGTGTACCCTGCATCAGCAGCAACGGCGGCGCGCGCAAGTGCACACACCGGAAACACAGACGACATGCAACGCAAAGCAGGCCTTCCCGCTTCCTTCCCGACAGCAGCGCAGGACGCTACGCAAGCCATTCCCGACCTCCTCCCATCGGTATTCATCGGGGCGGCGGCCTGGCGACCTGTGACCTGGAGGACCCAGGACAAAGGCAGGGACCGCTAAGCTTGACCTTGCGCCTGGGCCGGGCACGCTGGGTGAAATCTGGAGGGTTTGGGAGTTTGGACCGACTGGGACGTGATCGACTTCTGCTTCCTTGGGCGTCTCTGGCGGTTTCGCGGACTTGCCAGGCGCATCTGAAACATGGACGGTCAACAGGAGTCGTTCGGGAGCAGCCACCTCCGGATTTTTAGCTTGCTGCCCACCCCGTGCCTCGAAAGAGAAAAAGAGCCCCAAACATGTTCATGTTGCTGCTGTTGATGCGGATGTTTTGATTAGCCGTCATTGCGCTGTGGCAATTAGGCGCAGTTGAATCATCCGCATAGGGTCATTTTACCAGCCGTTGTTGGTCTCCTCCGTCAAGCAAGGTAGATGGAATAAGTGATCGGATAAGATAAAGATCAAGATAAGGTATTCTGTAACCAAAATGCGAGGTACCGACGTCTCAGACAGGCGTCTTAGGTAATCCCTCTTCCAGGGGCGAGAGAGCCCCTACAGTACCTACCCCCAAGTATCCTTCAGCCTCATCACAGCCAATGGGATACCTCGGTGTACCTTCCCCACCTGCCCCTTCTGGCACGGATGCTGGCCCGACAGGGGCTTTCTCGGCTCGCTTACTGGCCGAGACGCGCCAGAAATTGTTAGTGTAGCGCAACTCCTCCACATTCATCCCATCTCCGACCATCTTCTGACCTCAACCCACCTTCTCGAAGCGCCGCCCACGACTCCCAGGAACCAACTATACGCTTCACAGTAAGCTTCTTCGACGCTTGCGCGGACCTCCTTTCCCTCGGATCTGCCCTGGTCCTGTTCCTTCAGACCCCCCTCCCACCAATGCAACGCAACGTCTCTGGCAAACCCGAGATTCGCACACTCGATAATGAACCAGCCTATAGATCTTGCTGCAAGCCAAGTTCTAAACTCTAAACAAAAGAGTCCGACATCTCTCGCGGCCCAAGGATTTCGCCTGAGCCGCTCTCCAGACGCCTTCGCTGCCGTACAAACGACATCAAGCATCCCACGACATATCAACAGCCCTGCGTCTCGGAACCTGCCGCTGGGCTGTCGTTGCGGCCGCCATGTGCATGGGCGTCGCTGTCTCCGTCCGCCCTGGAGGGGTTAGGAGGGCCTTGGATGGGCGCCGTCGTCATCCCCATTCCCTGCGACTGATCAAACCTGCACCTCAAAGTCCCCGTGCTCCTGAGTACGCCAGCAGGAGCGACATTATCCAATGCCTCGCTGCCCTCGGCTTCCAAGAGAAACGCATGGCCTGCCAAGATGATGTCCAAGAATAGGCACAGGGGTCACCCTCCGCAAGGCAGGATTAAACGACAACCCGCAATGCTTAGCTGTTTGCTTGCCTGTCATCGTCGCCGGCTCGTTCCATCCATGTGTTCTAGCAACTGCCCGCCGCCGCCGCAGCAACGAGCCGCAGGGGTGGCGATGCACAGTTGCCTGCCCACCTCCTACCGGACTTCAGGCCAGGCGGTTTGCGCTGGTGGCCGCGTGTGCATGCCGCCCTCCTTCTCCAAACAATGAGGCATCGAATGGATCTGCACGGTAATCTACACGCTAGGAACCTGGCTCCCGCAACCTTGAGCGCGTACGACACGCAGTCCACGCCAGGGAGGCGGCCTGTCCCTGGTCGTCGTTCTGGTTCTCCTGGAACCCCGCTTCAGGATCGTCGGGGCCGTCGTCGAGTGATGGGCGTCGAAAAACATGCTCACCTATTATGCTGCAGCTCCCCATGACCATGCGGGTCTCTCTCCGCCAAGACGGTATCCGGCGAGAAGCTTGTTGCAGTTACACATTTGAGCCTCCCAAAGGCGGGAGCGGTGCCGTCGTCGGCTCCGAGGAGGAGTGCGTGCACAAAACCCCGTGGGATTTCTTTCGCAGTCTCAAGTGCCGACCAACGACCTGCGATGTAACTGGCAACCGGTTTGGATCTGAAAACAAGAAGCGGTTCGGCCGCCGTCGGTCCGTCCTGCGCCTTGGTCAGATGGCCCGCACCAGTCTCCGATAGACATTGTCTCGCGGCTTCACTGCTACAATGCGCGACTTGGGCTGATGTTTGTGGAGGGCACTGACCGGACTCGTTGGGGGATGCCTTCTCGACATGGCATTGTGCGCCTTTCCCTCAAATGGAAATCCAAACGAACACACCTGAACTTTTGCATCTGAACCCGATCCCAAGTATCGGCTATGTAACCGGACGAGCAATATTAATTCGCTGGTGACGCAGGTTGATGACGGCACGGCACAAAAATAAACCAGCCTCGCGTCGCCTCGTCTGTCGCCATCCAGCCGGTTTGTTTATTCGATGCGGCTCAGCCACAGGAACGGTCTGGCCCGGTATCAAAACAGCGGCCGTGACGTTGCCGCAGGTGATTGAGCCGCACGCACGCCCGCCGAGGAAAAATGTTTCCAGAAACGGCATTTGACAAAAACGTCTTGGCCCCACACCGAATGCTCCAAAAGAGAATGCGCGTTTGGCAAAAGATGAAGATGCGGCCAGTGTGGATTGAACACACGACCTTCAGATTGATTGAATGAAGTTTCTTGGATCGTGATCCGCTTCAGTCTGACGCTCTCCCAACTGAGCTATGTCCGCCACGATCTTCGGGACTTGCCGGACGCAGTGAGCGATATAATGCCTCCCTCCACTTCTTGCCCACATCGCCCATGTCATTAGTCGTGCAAGACGACTGTCTTTGCAACCTCTTTGACGAGCTGTCGAGGTCTGGACATGGCCGAGTCAGCCTCCTGCAGGCATGGCATAAGACCAGAGACAACTCAACTTGCGATTGCATCCTCTCTTCAGACTCGAGCTCGGCCGTCTTCTCTCCCAGCCATCTGGAATCTCGACGTTAGCCCTGGACCCTGGACCCCACCCATCCGCTCCGCCCAAGGCCTAGCTCGCGATCCGCTGCCCTAAGTGGTTCCCTGCCCACGAAGCCTTCAACGACAACTGGTCTGGTGGTGTAGTTGGTTATCACGTCAGTCTAACAGGTCGAGCGCTTCTCTGAGTGCCCTCGCCTGGCACACTGAAGGTCTCCGGTTCAAGTCCGGGCTAGATCATCCTATGGGCGATTGGTTTAGTGGTATAATACTCGCTTAGCATGTGAGTGGTCCAGGGTTCGATTCCCTGATCGTCCAGCTTTTTGACGGCGTCGTCGACATGAGGTCCGTCTCATGATTTGCGTTGTTCTTTTTTGATATTCGGGCGCCTTCCGGGCCTGACTCGGGGGACGGGCTGACTGGGACCGAGCTGTTGCGGGTGGAAACAATACCCGATGGCTTGGTTAAACTTGAGACTGGTTTCCGAAGCTTGTGACCGCGTCGTGCCGTCTCAAAACAGAGGCCTCGACGCGCCGTCGAGACAGTCAATGCCCACTGGCAGTTTTGTGTGTGGTTCCAAAGAACAAAACGTGATCGAGGAAACCTTCTTCGACGCTCGTGTCAAAAACTCACCGACTCGTGGCCCACGATGGTGCGTCGCGCGACCCGTGAGACCCTGACTGCGGGAACCAATGCGGGAAGAGAACCACCGCTCTTTGGGACGGCTGGAAAGGGTTTCTACGACACGGGCCAGCTCGACCATTGAGCAAAACGCAAATCTCCTCACTGTCGGAGAATTATCTGCTGTTCTCGTGCCTCCAGACGATCCGGCTGCCGCGTAGAATGCGGGGACGCGCATCTTTGAAGGGTGCTATTCCTGGATCGCAGCCATCTTTGGTTTCCGGCCGCCCTGCACTCGCATGGCCTCCGTGGCTGTTCAAAGATAGGGCTGTCGACCTGAGCAGATGAAATGGTTTTGGAGATGTCCTCACAATGTCCTGCTGCTGGCGTGTGGTGGTGACGCATGGGCACGCCAACGACCGGAGCATCAATTCCCGACTGCTGAATTGAGTGCCTTCATTTCGTTCAGCCGCCACTTGACGACTTGGCCGCGGCCCGGGAATCCCTCATCGGAATGGCTCGGGTCGGCAGCTCGGCCGTATCAACACATCAACGACTTTTGATGAACACAGGTGCTGATGACTCTGGACGAACGGGATGTAACTGAGCTATGCAGGTCTGGATGGCGCAAAAGCATCATGCCACCCTGCAGCTGTTGTTCCGAGAATTTTCGACGTACTTGCTTTTTCCTCTGCGTTCCGTTAGTCAGGCTTGACTTTCGACGTGCATATGTTGACTCGCAATTCCGTCTCTTCTTCGGAAGTGCGAGGCAGTAAATAAATCGAGGAAGGTCGTAGACGAAGAAGACCGAGCTTCCATGCCAGTGTATGGCGAAGGGGGTGTTTGTTTTTGCTTCCTGGTCTCAGCAACCATTGACACTTGCTGTATCAATGCAACTTCTTTCACACATGAAGCCAGATTGGCGCCGTGGTACACGGCGAATCGAACAGCGGTTGCTTCGGCATATGATGGGGCGGCGCAAGATGCCTCCTTTCCCTATGCCATACAACCAACCGGCGGCATTGGAACTGAAATTACAGCATCAACGAACTGATCCGTTTGCCAGTTGCAACATTTCTTTGAGCAGCGTGCCACGGACGCATCGCCGGGCTAACATCTGCTAACCAGCACCGCCAGCGCAGTAATCTGATCGTTTCGCCGAGCCTATAGCGAATCCCGAGCTGCTCGGTCCGAGTTTGATCGGTCGATGGGCGGAGGACGCCTGCGGTGCATGGAAAGGCCAGATCGACAAATGTGACCGTCATCTCGGTTCTCCGGCTTCCAGAAGCTCTCCAGACGTGTCGAAATGATTGCGAGCCAGGGGCTTGACGACAGCCTGTTTCAACCAAGTGGCTGGAAGAGGAAGGCTGGCATCGTGTGAGTCCAGACAAGCGGTCCCGGAAGCGACCCGAAATGACCGGGCAGCGGTCGCAATAAAGCCAGACTTGGTTCGAGCTAGGGGGCTTTATAGACCGGCAGCTAGGACAACGTCCCCGGAAACGCAGGAACGCGTGCTTTTCACAGCGGCGTTCCCATCGGTGTGGAGAGTCAAGTGGCACGTCTTTGCACTGTGAGAGATCGACGGACCGGCGGGCTGTCTGGAGGGAGCTTCACGTGTGAAGACGAGGATGCTGGGGCGGACAGGGAGGCCCGATGATTCAGGGGTCTGATTGTTGGGATCAACTTGACGTGATGGCTACACAGCAGGTGCTTTCGAATGCGGACCTGGGCGCGAGAAAAGCAACGACGCTTCAGACCGGCATTGGGAGCACGGGAACGTCGATTGGAGGTATGCGGCTGACGTCGACTTGAGGCGATATGCCCGACGACATTTCTGGCTGTCATTTGAAAATTTTATGCTCCTACTGCAACCGCAAACAAGATTCCATTCCAAAGTCTGAAGCCCAGTTGGGGCACCGGGGAAGCAGGACTGCGAGCCGGCGAAATGTGGTTGGGCGCGTGAGACAGGGCTACGGTGGAAACTTGCTTTCCGATCAGGTGAGCGGTTGGGTGGGTGGCTGTAGTAGCGAGGCGTTGATCGGGCAATCAGTTTGATGAGAGACAAGCGAATAAAGTTATCAGATCGAACCCATGCTTGCCCATGCCGTGTCGCTGGGCCGCGAACCGTCTTGTGGAGCAGCTAGCCCAGGCCGGCGTCGACAAACGCGTAGAAATGAGGATGCGACAGTGACTTGGCGTAGGGAGATACGAGCGGGTCCTGGCCACGACAGGCCCAGAATCTCAGGTTTGGCGTTTGCGTTGGGAGGATTGACGTGGCTTCAGGGAGTTGCGGTGTGACCGGTGTCGGAGATGAAATCAGATTAGATGCGATTGATTTGATGAGATTGATAAACGGGCGATAAGATTGTGGCTTCGTGTTTGACCAGTGACCAAAAGAAAGTCAAACCTGACTAGACAGGGTGATTAGACGAAGGTCACGGACAGGGATCGGACGGCAGGGTCGTCGTTCCGTTTGGCAATTGGACCTGTTTGCGGCGATCCTCGGTTTGGAGCGGCCACTCAGTTGGCGTGTGATGTTTGTGTTGGCAGCGGATGCCGTATGCGCACAACGAAGGGATTGTGACGTGGATGCGTGACGCGCGGGTAGCTTATCACGGCAGCGGACGGCGGAGGACACCGACGGAGCCGAGCCTGCAAAAGTGGCAGCTGCCGTCCACTTTCGAGATACGGGTGCTGAGCGGAGCGGCGCTGGAGCAGGACTGGAGCAGCAAAGGGCACGTGGAGGGTCGAGGACGGAATTGCTCGGTTCGGTCGCGGGCTGGGTGGCCGTACCAAGCAGCCGTTCTGCGCGAACCGGCGAATTTTCCCCAATCCTTCCGCGGGTGTGCAGTGTCGCATTCCGAGGGTTTCTTTCGTCAGCGGTGCGCCAACACTGCCGTCGAAGGTGCTTGGGCTGGGCCGTGGAATGACGGTTGATGCGCAACGATTGGCACGCATCAGACGGAGATCCACTGCGCGACTGGCATCGGAAGACAGTGTGCGAGACAGTGTCCAGGGTCTGGATCGGGGGTGGAAAGTGACGGAATCCAGTGGCGACTCAACGGCTAATGGGGACGGGTAGTGGTCTGACAGTGGAAGAGATTTCCCGGCAACTGGTTATGCTTGTGTTTATCGTTTGATGCTCGGTGAGCGGTGAGGGAGCATGAATAGGATATTGACCTGTTATTTTTGTCAGTGCCGTGTCATCGAACGAGCGTGGTGCGCGGAGAGAGATTGCTTCATTAGCCGTGGCCTCGTCGACACACGGGGCTGAGCCCATGGGAAAAGTCGGGGAGGGGGGG